GGTTTCTAATTCCACAATGCTGAACTGTTAAAATGGCGTGGCCTATGAATGATCTCATGTCACTAATACAAAATGAAAATCCCTGCAGGCAATTGCTTTTCCTAATTCTGTTTGATTTTCTGAGAGCAGACACCATTATTCAAAGCACACATGAAATCATGCACCTGGGCATTTAGATTTGGGACTGAATCTCCTACAGACCTGAGCTTGAAAAAGGGCTTCAGGGAATTAGCATTTTCCCAGCAGCAGATTTAATAATCCCCCAAAAGGGTTTGTGAACCCTACTGTCCATCATGGAACTTGGTTAGTTTAAAGTGCCATACAAGGGAAATAGATTTTATTAATGAGATTTCTATTCTACTGACAAGGTATTTGAAAATTGTAATAGACATAAAAAACCAATCATGTATTATGAGATGATTTGTCAGGTTTCTGTTAAGAATTTTTTTTCCTGGTTTATGCTATTTGGTACTGCAAATAAGCAGTGCTAAAAAAAAATGTCTTAGATAGCAGCTTGCTTTGGAAAAATGCAATCCAATCTGTGTGGAATCTAGAAAGGAAAGCCCCTTGCTACCATGACTATGCTTTTTCTTTATGCGTCACTCATTCATTCATTCCTCATTTGGGTTCCACTGTTGTTTTCCATGTTAAGTGCAAAATTCATGGCCCTTGATGATGGCTTTTGTGAGAATCCGGAGGAACAGATGGAACATCTTTCTCTGATGCTTCCTTTTCTTCTCATTCTAGAATCATGTGTTCATAGGTTTATATATCTGTAGGACCTGCATCTTGTAGGGGAAATAGCATCTGTAGCATGCTGGGGTGGGTGGGTGGGGTGGGCCAGGGCGAGGGAGGCAAGAAGGGGCTGCAACTGAACCATGGCCCTTGGCCATCCAGCTGTGATCCCACACAGGACAAGGCTGTGGTTCCTCCAGGCTAATTTGACTCAATCTTCTGCTGGTAAGGAGGCATCGTCAGTAGAGCTCCTGGATTTTCTAGAATGATTGTTGCAGTTCCTTGCTTTGAATTGCCACTGGAAATTTCAGCAGCCTACATTTTATGTGATTTTTTATTTATAATCACCCATCTATTCACACAACAAGTATTTACTGAGTATCTACCATGTGCCAGGCATGTTTCTGGTGCTAGAGATAAATAGTAGATACAATTCCAATAATAGAAATGCTGGTTTAGTGGGAAGGAAGACATTAAATAAAGAATAAGATGGGGGGGGCATGGTGAAATAGGTGAAGGGGATTTAAGTACACTTATCATGATGAGCACTGAATAAAGCAGAGAATTGCTGAATCACTATATTGTACACCTGAAACTAATATAACACTATATGTTAAGTATACTGGAATTTAAAAAATAAAGAAAAAAATTAAAAAAAGAAGAAACACAAAATCCCCCATAATCTTAGCATCTTATTTTAAACAATTAAAAAAGAACAGCACAAATATATAATTACAGCAGGGGTTGGCTCTCAGGAAAAAAACCCAAACTGTGTGCATTGAGCGACTCTGGCAGGGGAACCTGTTTTAGAATGGTGGGGATCAGAGCAGCCCTCTTCAGAAGTAAATTTAGGTAGAGACCTGAAGAATGACTGGGCATTGGCCAGGCAAAGAGTTGAGCACAAGAAGATTCCAGGTAGAAGGAACAGCATGCGGGAAGACCCTGTGTCGGGGCAAAGGAAGGCTAGTGGGATGGGAAGATAGTGAAGGCAACAGATGCTGTTGGTGGGCCCCCTGTTCTCCTGTGGCATTCTGCAATCGAGGTCATGTTATGACTTCCTCCAGCAGGTTCTGGGACTCTCCATCTGAGGGCATGTCTGCCATGCTCATCCTGGGCACTTCAGGGCAGCTGGGAAGTACTGGGTAAGGGGGGGGGGGGTCCTTGAGAGTAGCCATTAGGCAATGGTGATTAGAGTCAGAGGATAAATGCCTCAGCTTCCTCATCCGTCCGGCTGCATAACTTGGAGGCATGTCCTACTCCACTTCCGAACAGATCCTAGCGCGACTGAGCCCCGGTTTTCTGCAGGGGTGACAACCCATGCACATACCATGCCCTGCTCTCCTTCTTCATGCCACTCTCCCACATCCCTCCTGGTACTTCCTGAGGCCACCTCACAAATAAACTACTTGCCCTTGAATCCTTGCCTCCTGGTCTGCTCCTGGGGAAGCCCAACATAAGCTAGCGAGCGAGGAGGCGGAAAGGAAGGCAGAAGTCAGAGTGTGGAGGGCTGGGGTTCTCAACGCCTGGTCCCTGGAACCCCAGTGTTGCCTGAGACCCTATTGGGGAGTATGAACGGTCAGATCAATGTTTTACGATAGTGCTAACACTAACATCACCATTGTGATGCTTCACTGTCAAAATGCAAACCAAGGGTAGGTAAAACCAATGGAGCTTTAGCATAAATGGAGGCTGTGCTACAATTCATATTCTTCACTACATACGTTTCCAAAAAAAAATTTGCAAGTTTTACTTAAGAATGTCCTTGATGAAGCTGTAAGAATGATTCCTTCTTATTAAATCTCTTCTCCTGAGTATAGTTTAAAAAAATCTGTGTAACGGAATGGGAAACATGCATAAAGCACTCTGTGGACACCAGCTCCAACGCTGGTCTTGAGGAGAAGCACTTGAGTTGCGAGCTGAACTAGTCTCGTGCTTCATGGAGCACTAATTTTGCTCGAAAGAATGACTGGTGGATGATCAAACTATGATTATTCACACTTGGATGTCTGCCAGACACTTTCTCAAAAATGAACAAAGGGACATTATTTGTTGCCAATAATAAAATGTGAACTTCCAAGTGAAAACTAGAATTTTGGAAAACCTGTATCTGTCATGGTTAGGTTGAGAGCTTCCTAATACTTAAAGTCTTTTCTGGGGAGATGGGTGGTGATATTAACAGGTGTGATTTTTTTTTGGTACTGTGTAAATGTACTATGGCAACATTTTGGAAGATATGACTGACTCAGTGAACCAATATTTTCCAAATGACCAATCTATGATGGTTCAAAATCATATATGGTGATGGGGCACCGGGCTGGCTTAGTTGTAGCACATGAGACTCTTTATCTCAGGGTCATGAGTTTGAGCCCCATGTTGGGTGTAGAGATTACTTAAAAAACATCATGTATGGGTGAAAGATCTATACAAATGACAAGATAGCCCAGTGAATTTGAATATAATAAAGTATGAAAAGGTCACTGATATGATTTCATATTCCACATTATAACTAACCATCAAGAAGTGACCATATGCTGAGATTTGGTGTAACATCAAAAAAGAATACCCATGGGGTGCCTGGGTGGCTCAGTAACCAATTGCATCTGACACTTGATTTCAGCTCAGGTCATGATCTCAGGGTCATGAGATTGAGCCCCATGTCAGGCTCGGTACTCGCATGGAGTCTGCTTGAGATTCTCTCTCTTCCTCTCCTTTTGCCCCTTCTCCTGCTCAATCTCTCTCTCTCTCTAAATAAATAAATAAAATCTTAAAAAAAAAAGAATACCTACAATGATCTGAAATTCCTATTAAACAGTCCATTTTCCAGCTGTATGTCTGTATGAGGCCAGCTTATCAACATACTGTATCACAACAGATTGAATGAAGGTGTGAGAATTCAGTTGTCTTCTATTAAGTCAGGCACTTAAGAGATTTGCAAAAATGGGGGCGCCTGGGTGGCTCAGTTGGTTAAGTGTCTGACTTCGGCTCAGGTCATATTAGGGTCTTGGGATCGAGCTCCGCGTAGGGCTCCCTGATCAGTGGGGGACTCAGTCTGCTTCTCCTTCTCCCTTTTCTCCACCCTCGGCTCCTGCTCTCTCTCTCTCTTTTTTAAAAAGAGATTTGCAAAAATGGGAAACAATGCCACCCTTTTCACTAAACATGGTTTGCTTTGGAAAGTGGAGTTAGTCTTCATAAACTTATTTGTGTAAATCATATGTCATTTATATTAATATGCAATGGTCTTATTTTTACTTAAAATACATTCATAATTAAAAATAACATTTTCTCCATTTAATTTTCTAATGTTGATAGATAAAACCCACATACATAAAAATTGTATGGTGACTAACATAACATAATAAAATTAAATTAAATTAAAAAAAATGATTTTTGGAAGGCAAAAAAACCAGAAATCCTTTCAGGGATAAGTAAGAGGTTGCTTCTTTCGGAGTGGGTAGCTGAATGAGAAGCAGGTAAGTGTCCAAGTTCCCCGGAGGGGATGTGCAGAGGTGCCTGCGAGGGGGGCTCCTGCCTGCCGGGGAGCTGTGTGTCTGGCGGGGCCGGAGCAAGTGCTTGGCCCGAGCACAGAACTCGTGCAGCATCGGGGGAAGCCGCCACCTCCAGCAAGGCTCTGCTGTGAAGTTTTGTCAGCCCTGGAGCTTCTCTCTCGCTTCTTCCAGGAGCAGTGCCCGGCTTCTGGCGCTCTCTTGCAGAGCTGGCAGCGGAATGGGAGCAGGAAGCCTGCAGCGTATTTTGCCAAAATACAATCCTTTCTCTGTGATCCCTTCGCAAAAGGGGGATTAGTCCCGAACGAGACGTTTCTGGTTCAGGTTTGCACCTTCACCTCCTTCCTAGGCTTCATTACACGCGAAGACTTCATTAGCTCGGGTGGTATCCGCAATAGAGACCGTTTTGACAAAATGATCTGGTTTTGGAGATTTTGCTTTGTGCAACTTTGCAAAGTCTTCACAAGAATTTCCCCCAAGCAAAATGTATTCTTTTAATGTCACGATGGGAAGCAATTGCAAGTCAGAAAAATGAGTCCCTTTTCTTCTCCTCTGGCTGGTGGTCTGATTCTACCTTGGAAAATTTCATCAAACCCGTTTCCTCCTCTCTCCTTTCCACTACAGTTTGTTGCGGGTCTTCATCCTCTGCACTCTGGATTTCTACAGCATCTCCACTGATCGTCTAGTGACATGAATTGCTTTTGTCTATACCCCTCTTCACGACCCCCCCCCCCGGCCCTGCCCTCCCCAGCTTGTGGCTTCCCACTGGCTGAGGAATAAAGACTGTTCTGAACAGGGGAGGTCACAGATGTACCAATGCTCACCAAATAGCCACGCGCTCCTCCACATTTCCCAGCCTCCCTTGTGGTCAGGCTGGGACCATGTGACCAGGTTTGGGTCAGTGGGAGATGTACATAAGTAACTTAGCCCCCTGTAGACCAAGCCCTTGACTGCTTCCCGTGGTACCCTCCAGCTCTCTGTCCTGCCATGACCTTGTAGCTATGTGTGTGTTGTGGGTTGAATTGTATCATCGAGTTATGGAGGATGAGGTCATTAGGGTGGGCCCTAATCCCATATGACTGATGCGCTTATAAGAAGAGGGAAATTCGGACAGAGAGGGAAGAAAGCCAAGTGAAGGTGGAGGCAGACATTGGGACTGGGATTATGTTGCCTCGAACCCAGGAATACTCGAGGCTACCAGAAGCTGGAAGAGGCAAGGAAGGATCCTTCCCTAGAGGCCAAGGAAGGTGCATGGCCCTGACGACACCTGGGCTTCAGACTTCTGGCCTCCAGATGGTGAAACAATCATCTCTGTGGTTTTGAGCCTCTCGGTTTGTGACGCTTTGTTAAGGTCGCCTTGGGAAACGAATATAGCGCACTATACCGTTTTCCTGGGCAGAGGAGCTGCCTGGCCTGCCTCGGGCTTCTTGTGAATGAGAAATAAACCTTTACTGGGGCAAGCTGTGGAGATTGAAGAACATAGTTGTTACCGCAGACATCCTGGCTTATCCTGATGCCTTCGGTATCTAAGCACTTCCACCAAAGCTAATATTGGTTGTACTATGTTAGGATTTGGTATGTGTGTATATCACTTGCTAGAAAGTGAGTTCCTTGAGGCCAAAGAGAATACCTCTAAAGTTTGCATCTTGTTTCTGGCATAATGTTTAATTCAAAGTGCCAAATTAAGGGCATTAGTGAAATTAATTCTAAGAGAAGCTTATGCTAGCCTGGCTCTGGGAAGGTCAAAGGCGCCCCGCTGCTGGAGGTCTGAGATCTGACCTTGTTATTTGCCAGCAGCAATACCCAAGATGTGTCTCAGCCTCCCCGAGGATGGTGCTTCACAAAGGCGGGCAGTCCGGCCTTTGTAAACACTATGCAGGGAGGCCTCGTGGATCTCTGAGGTCTTACGTTCAGACTATAATTACCTGGGCTCACCAAGCGACTGAAAGATCCAAAGCCCTATCTCTTTAGTAGGTGGGGTGTGTGCATAGTTGTATGTGTGTGTGTGTGTGATTGTTGGCAGGTACGAGGAGGGTCTCTTAGGGATTCTGAGGGCCAGAGGTCCATGTTACTGCTTTTCTTTCTTTTTTTTTTCAATTTATGTTGAATTTTATTCCATTTTTTAAAAAATGAGAAAATTGACATATAACATTATATAAGTTTAAGGTGCACAATGCATTAATTTGGTATACTTACATATTACAATATAATTACCACTGTGGGAATCATGTTCCATAGTTATCATTTCTTTTTTTGTGGGAGTGTTACTGCTTTTTCTAAGGTACCAGCCAGGCAATATGTCAGAGGGCAGATTGGATTTTTCTCTTATTCTTTAACACTTTTTGAAGAGTTAAAAACATTCAGAAAAACACAGATTAAAAACACAATCAACATATGTACAATCCAGAATTAATAAATGCTAACATTGTTGATCTTACCTTTTTTTAAAAAGATTTTATTTATTTATTTGAGAGAGCGAGAGCTTGAGTGCGCAGTGGGGGGAGGGGCAGAGGGAGAGGGACAAGCAGACTCTGGGCTGAGCACAGAGCCTGACTCGGCTAGATCTCATGACCCCGAGATCATGACCTGAGCCGAAATCAAGAGTGGGACGCCTAACCCACTGAGCCACCCAGGTGCCCCTTTACTTTGTATTTTTTTAAAATAAGAGGTCATTACAGATAACGTTGAGCTTTTCCTTTGTTCCTCCATACAACTCCTGGATGGTCCCACGTCCTTGTCACTACTTTTGTAAATCTGATGTGTGTTGTCACAGTTCATGCTTTTGTACTTTACATACAACAGACTCACATATAAATATGTAGTTTTACCTAGTGTTTAAAATTAAATAAATGGTATAGTACTATGTGTACCCTCCTAAAATGGATTTAAAAAACATTGTTGGGGGCTCCTGGGTGGCTCAGTAGGTCTGACTTGGGCTCAGGTTGTGAACTCGGGGTCCTGGGATCAAGTCCCACAATGGGCTCCCTGCTCAGCTGGGCCTGACACAGAGTAGACAGTCAATGAACTACATAAACAAGTTAAAAAGCGAACAGATGCTTGGAGACACCCTCTCAAAAATAAATAAAAATTCATGGCTTTTCATGTAGTGGGAGGGCTCAAATCACTTCCTCGACTATCAGCTGAGGGACTTGGCTGTTAGAAACTGTGGGCCTCTGTGGCGCCATTCCTTCTCGATGGCTGAGGAAGAAGTGGTTTTCATTCAGGAATTCCTTCCCAGCATTTCTTGGAACGTTCCTATGTTTTTCCAAATCCCGAATTCTGGGGATAAAATCAGACAAGAAATGGGGAAAACTGATCATTCTTATGTGAGAATTAAAGCTTAACAATCCACCTGGAGACATTGCTGGTTAGGAGTCCGCTGAAGTCCGGTCGAAAGCAGGAGCACGGAGCAATGGCAAAGGGCTCACAGGGTCAGGTCGACACTTCTGGAAAGACAAGAGAACTTAGGAGAGAAGCAGTCACGATCTACTCAGTCAGTCTTCACAAATAGCTGTTGTGTGTGTGTTCGTGGCCCAGTCTCCTGCCAGTGACAAGTCATTCCTGCAAGTAAAAGAAATGCTAAGAAGTTCAAATGCACCATGGGCTTTATACAAATGCTATGCGCAGGGTTACAAGAAATAGTAAGTTTGGAAACAAAATACACCCTTAAACAGCAATTCTGGGAAGTGAGCGCAGTGCTGCCAACCTTGCTGGGAGGTCCAAATATCATGCGATTCAAACACCGTCCTATAGCATTTGCTGCTGTTTCCCAGTGTTTGAATATTTTCTGTAGGTTTCAGTTCTATGTAAAATTGACAATATTTTCATTGTATCAAGAAAGGAAATAAGCTTATGTTTCACTGTTTTTTTACGTCAACAAATGTTATGAAAAAGTGTATAATAGCTTCTGATTTTTGGAATTTCTGAGAATTCTTATTTCTCACCCTTGAATCCCAAAGGTGAATATCCGCTGAGAATTTGGGAACACTAAAAAGCTTTGTCAGTTAACCTGGGGACCCTTTGTTGTTGGAAAGCATGTCAAGAAAAAAGCACATACGCTTGAGCAGAGCTGGAGAATGGTCATTATATCACAGGAAGTGGGGTCAAAGGTGTGGTTATAGGAGGAGCCCGGGGGAGAGCCGAGGCAGATGAAAAGGAGAGACAGAGTGGCACTATTGGGGCTCCCCATCCTAGGTAACCCAGCGACCAGGCCCATGCCTTCCCTCTGCACAGCCAGCAGGAGCTGGCGCTAATGAAGCCTCCCAGGGTTTGCGAGACACACAAAGAGACTGGGTGGAAGGGCTTTCTCCTTCAGAGAGGAATAGTGTCCTGAGAAGGGGGCATGCTGGGTTCAGGGGGCTTGAAGGAGATGATGGTGACATAGGGTACAGAGACATCCATGGCCTCTGGAAGTCTAGGCAGTGAAACCTCATGTTGATTTTGGGGGGTTCAAGGGGATGAGCTGTACCAGGCTGTCCCGTTGTAGGTGACCTGACGAACTCAAGCCCCCACCAGGCTGGAATCAGAATTCGAGTGCCTGATAGCAATGGGGGCTGTCCTGGGGTTACATTTTTTTGAGAAAGAGAGAGTGAGCATGGGTGTGCGAGTGAGCGGGGGTGGGGGGGTGGTGGTGAAGGGAGAGGGAGAGAGAGTCTTAAGCAGGCTCCACACCCAGTGCAGAGCCTGATGCAGGGCTGGATCTCATGACCCTGAGATCATGACCTGAATTGAAATCAAGAGTCGGATGCTTAATCAACTGAGCCACCCAGGTGCCCCTGGGGTTACATTTTTATTTACCACTTGATTTGGCTCAGATGCCAAGAGCCAATACTTGGTGAAATATGGCAACTTTTTCAGAGGCATGGGAAATGCCTCTGGGGAGACCCCTCATTCAAACCTCTACGCCATTCTCAGATTTCTAGAAAAGTCGAAGGGCAGAAATGCTGTGACCTCAAGGAAGATGTAATGCCATTACCACCAATGAAGGAATTGGATTGAGAGTCAGACAATGGCCTATTCGTAAGGGCTAAATAGAGGTAGGTCAGGCCTGGCTTTGATCATTAACCCAAAACTCTCATAAAGACTCACCCTTTCCTGCATACCCCAAACTGCAGCTGCTACCATAGGGCCTGGCTCTCAAGAAGAAGTGCGATGTGGAGCCACAAGCCTGGTGTTTGAAGTCAGACAGCAGCAAGAACGAATGTCAGCTCAGCTCTACCATTCACGGTATTACGTGGCAGCTCCGTTTACTCATCTCAAAATGTCTAGTCCACGGGCGGCGTGGGGGTACACTGACGTAAGAGTCCTCAGTGTAGGTTCTGCATCCTGGTCATGCCATACGGAACACCTGGTAGCCTTACGTTTCTGCGAAGGGGGCTTTAAGATTTCATTCCTTCTCTGAAGTGATCCAAATCAGTGGATTGCATTGCTGTGGGCACATCGGTGTAGACCAAAGAATGGCCGCTGGTTGGAGACTGGCTGTCCATTCTCAAGTATGAAAGCAGTTGATGAGCTCTGAGAAATAGGTAAGATTCCAATGGCTCCCAGTGATAACTTGTCAGGAAAGTGCAACCAGTAACAAGCCGCGACTGGGACCACTTTCTTCCAATCCTTGTCCCAGGACCTGCGGAGTCTGTCTCTCTGAACTTCTCTTCCCTTCCTGTCTCCTTTGTTCTGTTTCCCAACCCTCTCCCCCTTTCTCTTTTTCTTTTCCCCTTCCTTCTCACTCCTGCCATTTTAAAAAAAGGATTTATTTATTTATTTGAGAATGAGAGAGCGCAGGTGGAGAGGCAGGGGGAGAGGGAGAGAGAGAATGTCAAGCAGACTCCCCTCTGAGAGCAGGGTTCGATCTCACGACCCTGAGATCGGAAACCAAGAGTTGGATGCTTAACCAACTGAGTCATCCAGGCGTCCTTCACTTGTGCCATGTTGTACTTTCTATTACCCCCTTTGTTTCCTTCTCCTTCTTTGACTTGGCCTCTGGTCGGGTGTCCATGATTTTCAGAATGTCCGTATCTCCTGTTCTGCATCCTCTCCCTTGATCAGGGTTAGTCAGGTGTCACAGTAGTGGGGGTACTGCCTGGCTTCTGCGTCCCACTAGGTCAACCCTTTAGGTAGAGCACAGGAGAAACAACTCCCTAAAGGCTGCACATATTTTTCACATTCTTCTGAGGTCACCGATAGCCTGAATGAAAGGAAATGCACACCAACAGAAGCCATGGAGCTGGCCCTTGGCCACGCGGGAAGTGAGTTACGTTTGTCTATGCTTTTGGCATTCTAATGACCCTCCAGTGAGGTCGTCTGTCTTCCTCATGGCCCTGGTCGGTCCCTCACTCGTCTGTTAGCCCCGTTCTGGCCTCTGGTGCCTAGGAATCTCCCTTCCTTTTTCTGTCCTATATCCCCAGGTGCCTCCTGGCTACTCAACAATTGGTTCATGTGGACGCCATCCTCTTACCCAGAGAGCCTGGATGATGACCTCACATCCATCCTGCTTCTTCAAAACTTTGTTCCACGTCCCTCAAAGAGTCTGCTGATCTGCTAAACCAAGTGGGCCTCTTAGAAGCACAACACTGGCTTTCTGGTGTCAATTCACCTGCCTTCTTGGGGTCTGGCAGCAGCCCTGAAGGGATGAGCGCCTTGGAAAACACCTCTGTTCAGAAGGGTCTGTCCTCAGCCAACCTAGCTGCCAGGTTCCACAGACTAGAAATCCATTTGTGTTTACAAAGTTTCTTTTTTTAAAAAATATCTTTAAATTGATTTTATTTATTTATTTGAGAGAGATGGAGATAGTGAGAGAGAGCTAGAGCAGGGAGGAGTGGGAGAAGCAGGCTCCCCACTGAGCAGGGAGCCTGATGCAGGGCTCGATCCCAGTGTCCTGAGATCATGACCTGAATCAGGCAGACGCTCAACCAACCGTGCCACCCAGGCACCCCTAAAATTTTCTTTTTTTTTTTTAAGATTTTATTTATTTATTTATTTTATTTTATTTATTTATTTGAGAGAGAGAGGCAGCGAGAGAGAGAGCACCAGCGGGGTGGGGGGTGGTTGGGGAGGGAGAAGCAGGCTCCCCGATGAGCAGGGAGCCAACACGGGACTCGATCCCAGGACCCCAGGATCATGACCTGAGGCGAAGGCAGACACTCAACTGACTGAGCCACCCAGGGGCCCCTACAAATTTTCTTTTAAAATGTAATGCCTCCTGGGAGGATTGACCCTACACATTGTTATTACCCTAGTATCTATGGTTATTATAATGTGGTCATTGGTCAGAAATGAAACTCCCAACTACAATATTGCTGTTATGGGAAAGTTCCATCTATCTTACAACATTCTTCATGTACACTTTCCAGAAAAATGTTGTTGGGAAAGGGGAGGATTATTGTTTCTCAAAAATAATCTTCACTTCTCTCAATGACCTATAATGGATTCATTATCTCTGAGTTTCAATCCTCTAATCCTCTGTATTTTTGTTTAGCCTGCATTATCACCAGTATGTAAAAGTATGTAAAACTTCTTTTATCCAAATACTGGTTTCTGACTTGGCCATTGTGGCAAGGGGTATAATTGTGGATATTCTGGGTATAAGGGCCACTTTGATTGGGGCAGGGAGGCATGCTCATAGTATGATCTGAGAGGCAACCCAAGGGCTCCTCCTAAATCACAGTCCTCCACCAACCCTACATGTATCCCTGAAATTGCCATAGTATTCGTTCACTGGCTCAGGCCTTGAAGAGCCTTGAAGGGGCTTCAGTGGTCGTCTGGCTCCAAGTCTTCATTTTTATAGAAGGGAAATCTGAGGTCCTTTGAGGTTGGTGTCTCAGCTAAGCTCACACTGATGTAGTACTGGGTCTAGAATTCCAATCTCCTCACTGGAGAACAGTGCATTTTCCACCCTGTAACAACTTTAGTAAGGGTTGTGTACTATCAGTGGACCTGGTCACCAGGCAAGTACCATCTGGGAGGAGTAATACCTAAAACTGTTATTATCCACCCCTTGGCAGCACGATGTTAATGTAGGAAAGGAAAAAGAAAGTCGAGGAGAACCACTGCTGGGGGTGAGTCATTGGGTATAGAGCAGCACTGCCCAACAGAAACAAAGTGCAAGCCACATGTGTTTTTTATTTTATTTTTAAAGACTTTATTTATTTATTTATTTATTTATTTATTTATTTATTTAGAGCATGAGCAGGAGGAGGGGCAGAGGGAGAGGGAGAGAGAGAATCCCAAGCGGGTTCTCCATTGAGCTCAAGGCCCAACGCGGGGCTTGATCTCATGACCCTGAGATCATGACCTGAGCTGAAATCAAGAGTGAGATGCTTAACCGACTGAGCCACCCAGGTGCCCCCCGCCGACATGTGTAATTTTAGATTTTCTAGTAGCCACATTAAAAAAGCAAAGTAATTTAAATAATATATTTTAATTCTAATGATACTTTACTTAATTTTAATAAATATGTTTTATTTAACCTGACATACCCCAAATATAATTTCTATATAAAAATTATTAATGAGATATTTTACATTCTTTTTTTGTACTAAGCCTTCAAAATCTGGAGTGTATTTTACACATTCAGCAGAACTCAGTTAGGACTAGCCCCATATCAAGTGCTCAATAGCACGTGGCTATTGGCTACCATATTGGACAGCACGGTTCTAGAGCACTCTATGCTGAGTCACTATGTCTGATCTCTTCTGTTTGCTGTGTGGGGCCCTGTAAGCTGGGAGGTTCAGGGAAATCACCCTGATGCTTCATATTCTATAAATAAGAGGATCATAAAACTTCTTAAGCAAACCAAGACACTGTTGAGTGAGAGGGAAATTGTGCCGGACAACGGGCCTACACCAGCACTGAACCAGCAGACTAGGACATGTAGTCTAATTATAAAGAGACTCATATCAGAGGAGGCTTCGGCCATGGCCCTGGATGCCAAGGTTGTCATAGGAGTCGGCAGATAGCCCTGGGTGGCCAGTGGGCAGCACGAGAGATGGAAGACGCCTGAGCAAAGACAGTGAAGAGGCATCAAGGGGCATCTGGGCAAAGTACTTGCAATTTAATCCAGGATGAGAGAGGCTCTAGACAACTGTGGAAGTACAAAAAAAGAGGGGGCAGAAGTGCCTGGGTGACTCAGTTGGTTAGGTGACTGACTCTTGGTTGTTTGTGTTTTTTTTTAAGATTTTATTTATTTATCTGTGTGTGTGAAAGAGAGAGAGAGCATGAGTGGGTTGAGGGGCAGAGGGAGAAGCAGACTCCCCACTAAGTAGGGAGCCTGATGTGGGGCTTGATCCCAGGACTCTGGGATTATGACCTGAGCCGAAGGCAGATGCTTGACCAACTGAGCCAGCCAGGTACCTGATAACTCTTGGTTTTGGATTGGATCATGATCTCATGCATGGTGGGACCAAGCCCCATGTTGGGCTCTGTGCTCAGTGGGGAGTCTGCTTGAAGATGCTCTCTGTCCCTCCCTGCACCGCCCTCTCTCTTAAATAATTCATTTTTTTTAAGGGGAAACAAGTCTGAAGTGTACAATGTAAGCTTTATGTTAGACCTGAGAAGAGTCCCCCAGTGAGGAGGCATTTTGATACTGATGGTGCTAGTGCTAATTTCTCTTCTGGGGAAAGCAGCACGCACTCACTTCATCCAAGGCCAAGGCCTACCTGCTGCAGGGAAGGAAGATAAATTAGCAGATGTCTGAGCCCCTTCCAGCTTTAGATCCCAAGGTAAGATTAAACTATGGGCTATAGGAAATGTTCCAAAGATGAAAAAAAAAGTTTTAGCCAGATGAAAATTTGTTGTAAACATTTGCTAAAGGGTAAAGCATAAAACTTGAAGAAAATAAGAAAAAAAGTCAATTTACATATTGGTAGTGTAGAAAAAAAATGATTATCATATTTTAGTTTTGTAGGGTTTAAGAATTACCATGAGAAAGAATCTTTCCCAGCAGGTTTTTCTCACAAATGTTACTTAAAAAACAACAACACGTTTGTCTTTAGTATATATCTAAAGGAGATGGTGCTATTTCACGTATTAAATGAAACCAAATATTTTCAGTTATAAGTTAATTGCTATCATAAAATAATATCAAAGCAAGCATCTACATTATGCATCACATTATTCAACAGACACTTATTTTCCTGGATTTTCTCTTTAAATTAGCTAAGGGTTTCATCTTTTTACAACAAAAATGATATTTTGAGAAGTCAGCTGATATTCATCAAAATGGGTAAGATCATTTCTGCCAATTAACAGCAGCTGGTGAGTGAAAGATGACCTGGCTGATAGGAGATTGGGATTCCAGTTCCAATTTTGATCACGCTAACAATGTGATGTAGAACTGCTTAACCTCTTGGAGTTTCCGTTGGGGCTAAAGTATCGGGATCCTTACTGCTGCAAGTGGTAGAAACAGGAATCAAGATGGTTTAAGCAATAAGGACATCTGGCATCTTACATACGAGGAAAGCTGGAGGCAAAATGGCTCTAGGGGGAGTTGACTCCGAATCACCAAGGCCAGGTTCTCTCTGTTTCTCAGCTCTGGCATCCTGTGTCATCATCATTCTCAGGCTGGTATTGGAATAGGAAGGCTGTGGCACTTCCAGATGTCCCATCCAGTCATGGTAACATCCAGTGGAGCAACAAGAGATCCTTTCTTCCCATGGCTTTTCTTGGATCATGCTTAAGATGTTTCTTCACATCTGATTGGCTATGTTGGGTCACATGTCCATTCCTGAGTCACTCACTGGCCTGAGGAATGGGGTTACTCTGATGAACTCAGACAAATCACCTGGGGTGGAATAGATTATGGAGAGTCAACAACAATGTCCAATCGATGGTGATATCATATGGTGGTTGGGAAGACCACCAGGGGATGGACACATCATAAATGGTAATAAAATCTAAAAATGCTAGGTGTCATTGTTATTTAAATATTCTTAGTGTAATTGGAATTCTGCTAAAGATCCCATAATAATACAAGGGAGTGCATTAGAATGTCTAATATTGTCCATCAGAAGAATATAAGGTTCTAGATTTTTCTTTCCCTGAAAATCCTTCAGGAGAGGACCATACTTTGTAATGGTGAAATCCAAGAGACATTTAAGTAGTGTTCTCTATCACCCGTCACCCATCAGGAGGGAATAGAGGGACAGCACACCTTATACTCTGGTCTTGAATATGATGAGGGTCAGATTCCCAGTATGAGGTTCTAGTCTTTTACAGTAATCAGCTCAGAGGCATAGTCAAGAGTGGCATAATAAAGATGCTGAGCTGCTTGGGTGGACAGCTGGGAATATAGATCCCAGTCTCCCCACTTAGTAATCTCAGATTTTCACACAGATCAATTTACTTAACCTCTTTGAGCCTCTGTTGCCAGGTCCGTATAAGGAAGCTAATAATATCTATTTCACAGAGTTGGGGGGATTTCATGAAAAAAAGCCAAAAAGCATTAAGCACTGTGTCTATCAGAAGAGCAGATGCTCAATAAATGATAGCCATTTGGAGGTGTTTTCAAATTATTATTTAGGAATAATGAGAAGATATCTCAGAAAACAAGTCTCAAAAAATTCAATAAATTCAAGTCAATGAATATTCAATAAGCATCTACTGTGTCAAAGATATTGTGTGCCTTGATACCACATCCTCAGTTTATAAGGGTGGTTCATGTCTACAGATGCTCACTTACGGCTTCCTCCATGCTCTTTACTCTAGACTCACAATGTTCCTGGACATATGAAATGATGAAAGTATCTTTGATTGGCAAGAGTGGAGGAGTGGCAGGGGAAGAAGGGAGGTGAAGACTGAGTCTCAGAGTCAATTAGTGGGGTCAATAACAAAATAACTAAATGTAGTTTTATGATTCTATGGACAGGCAGAATGAGTACGTGTACATGTGGGTGTATATGTCTGTGCACACGACATGTATTTTCATATGCAAAATAGATATCTTTTGCTTTTATCTGTGCTTTTTTGTTTGTTTGTTTTTGTTTTTGAGAGAGAGAGAGATTGAGCCGGGAAGGGGCAGAGGAAGAGGGAGAGAGAGAGAATCTTAAGCAGGTCTCATGCCTAGCACAGAGTCTGATGTGGGGCTCAGTCCCATGACCCTGAGATCATGACCTGAGCTGAAATCAAGAGTGAGATGCTTAACCAACTGAGCCACCCAGGCGCCCCTTTGGCCTTTATTTTTAAGTCAACTTTGTTGAGATATAACTTCCATGCAATAACACGCCTCCCTTTTAGGAATACACGCCCTTGAGCTGTGACCAATGTATACCCAGGCACTAGCACACCAAAGCAATCAAAATGTAGGGGAGTTCCTTCATCCCACAAAGTGCCTTAATTCTCCTCTCTGCCAGCTTTAGGCAACCATCATTTTTCCTCGTTCCCATACTGTGCTGAACTACACTGGGACACCCTGAGACAAACTCACAGAGACCATGAACATTTTAAAAATTTGAGGGAAGCATGAAGACTTCTGTTGGACACCTTGAGGACTTCCACTGTGAAATTGTCTGGAACCAGCTACTTAATAAACAGATCTGTTAGGTATTACTTCCTTTTTTTAAAAAAATTTATTTATTTATTTTATGGGGATGGGCAGGGGAGAGGGAGAGAGAGAATCTCAAGCAGACTCCCCACTGAGCGTGGAGCCTGTCACAGGACTTGATCCCACGACTCTGAGATCATGACCTGAGCTGAAGTCAAGAGTTGGATGTTCAGCTGACTGAGCCACCCAGGCGCCACTGTTAGGTATTTCCTTTGGATTACGTGCCATGAAAAAAAAATGACTGAGACAACTAGTAATAACATCCTCTAGCCTCATCCACGCTGTGTCAATGTCCCATTCCTTTATATTGCTGAGTATTTGAATGTAACACAATTTCTCTGAAAAAAACCCCTCTGAACGTTCATATACAAATCTTTTGAGTATGTATGTTTTCATTTTTCTTCGGTAAGAATCTAGAAGCAGAATTTCTGGGTCACATGTTAAGTGTATGTTTAATTTTTTGAGAAACTGCCAAACTGTTTTCCAAAGCACAATTTTACACCCCCAGTTGCTCCATTTCCTTGCCAACATGGTATTGCCAGTCTTTTTAATTTTAGCCCTTCTAGTGGGTGTCTGGTGTTAACTCATTGTGCCTTTAATTTGCATTTTCCCCATGACTAATGATATTGAGAATCTTTTCATGTGCATATTTGGCCATTTGTATATCTCTTTAGGGAAGGCAGTTGTGATCTTTTTTGCCCATTTAAAAAAATTGACTTGTTTGACTTCTGATCGAGTTGTAAAAATTTTGGGGTTCTTAAGACAAGTCCATTGTTTCCCCTGGTCTGCAGTTTGCCTTTTCATCGTCTTAACAGTATCTTTCAGGGGCACTGGGCTGGCTCAGTTGGTAAAGCATATGACTCTTGATCTTGGGGTTGTGAGTTTGAGTCCCATGTTGGGTGTGAGGATTACTTAAAAATAAGATCTTCAAAAAAAATGAACAAACAAAAAAACCCCCAGTATCTTTGAAAGAACAAAAGCTTTGAATTTTGATGAAGTCTATTGTATCAATATTTTCTTCTATGATTTGTGCTTTTCTGTGTCCTAAGAACTTTCTGTCTATGCCAAAGTCACAAACATTTTTTTTCTCCTTTTTAAAAGACATTTTATAGTTTGAGCTTTTACTTTAGGTTTGTGACCCATCTCCTTTCGTTCCTGTGTCACATGTAAGGTAAGGCTGGAGGTTCATTTTCTTCTTTATGGATATCTGGTTGTTCAAGCAGCATTTATATGGAGAAAGACTATCCTTTCCCCATTGAATTACCTTGGCATCTTTGTTAAATATTAATTGCTCATACAGATGTCAGTCTGTCTCTGGACTCTCTTCTTTTCCATTCATCTTCTGATTATCCTTTGCCAATACCTACACTGTTGGTTACTGTAGCTTTATAGTAGTCTTGAAATCTAGGTAATGTAAGTGTTTCAAGTTTGTTCTTTTTCAAAAAGGTTTTGGCTAAATTATAAGTTCTTTGCATTTTTATATGAACTGTAGAATCAACATGACATTTCTAAAGAAAAGCCTGCTGGGATTGATAGAATTTTCCTAGAGCATGAATGAGGCCATTGGGTTAACTCATGGTGTTTACTAGCCTCGGGAGTAATACAAAATAGAATAAAAAGTATTAATGGTATTAACCAAAGATTGGCAGAGATTAGAAGGACAATGATAAAGTTGGAAGACAGTGTTTGTGAGGTAGAAAAAACCCATAGCTATGGGAGCCAAACTCTCCTGGACTCATGAACTGTTTTCCCCACTTTCTTGCAGTGTGACAATCGGACAAGTGGACCACAAGATGGATTTTACAATTTGCCATAAGGATGAAACACAATCTCTCCAGCTGCCACCTGGGGATCACAGGTACCTCACTTCCACTGAGTCCAAAATTGAACCCTCTGGTTTCCCTCTAAACCAATTCTTCTTATGGTGTTTTCCGTCTTAGTGACCAAACCCTCACACCCCACCAGCTGCTTCATACCAGCCCAGAATCTTAGAACCCTTTCTTCACATTTTGATTTCCCCCCACATAGAACTCAAACATAAAAATGAAACCCAATATTTCCCAGCCTCCTCTGTGGCTAGGGCCAGACACTTGACTGAGGGTTGACCAATCAGATGCATCAGCAGGGACTTTGCTTCCCAGGCTGGTTGTGTGAGGGAAGAGGCAGGATAGGGCATTGCCATCTTGTTCAGGCAATTTCCTTCTGGGCCTTCCTTGCTGCCTTCCCCAGAGGGGTTGTTCCTTGCAACTCAGCCTAGAACTTGATCCATTCTTCCTTCCAAAGATTCTTAGGCAGCTAATACCCCATCATAATCCTCTCCCTTTCCAAACTAGCTAGAGCAGATTCTCTTGCTACAATTCAATCTCCAGAGAAGCACCCTATAAACAATATACCCTAAGGGCTAAAGCCACGTACCCTGCCCTGAACCCTTTCTCTTTCTCTCCACCATAGCTCATCAGTTACTAACTCTTCCTCATTCTGCCCCTGCCACTCCAAACATCTGAATCTGTCTGCTTCTCTCCTTCTCCACTCTCCTAGCCCAGCTCAAACCACTGCTCTCTCTCCTCTGCACCTTGACAACAGCCTCTGAGGAAGACCCTCTACTGGGTCTCTCCTTCCACTTTTAGTCCCTGTCTTCCAGCCTCATCTTCACACTGTATCCAGAGTCATCTTTGAAAAAAGGCAAATCTAATATCATCATGTTCTTGCTTAAGACCCTTCAATGGCTCATTATTGTTCTTAGTATAAAGTTGAAAATCTTTAAAGTATTTTACTCAGCTCTGCCTAATCTGTCTCTCTCATCAGATCCATCAGGCACCACTCCCTCTTCCTTCTGCTCTGGCCATACTGGCTTGCTTTTTTTTCCTTTTAAGATTTTATTTATTTATTTGAGAGAGAGAGCACGTGCATGTGAGCATGAACAGGGGGAGGGACAGAGGGAGAGGGAGAAGCAGACTTCCTGCTGGGCAGGGAGCCTGACGTGGTGCTCGATCCCAGGGCCCTGGGATCATGACCTGAGTGAAGGCAGACGCTTAACCGACTGAGCCACCCAGGCGCCCCCACATTGGCTTTCTTTCTGTGCCTTAAATGAGCCAGCTTTTTCTCATCTCAAAGCCTTCCCGCATTCACTGTTCCTTAGAGCTGGAAAAAGACCCAATTCTACCAGCCAACCTCTTCTTCAGATCCTAGCCTCGGCTTTACCCTTTAGTGAAGCACTACACACTCTACTTCTTCACAGCACTTTTTACATTCGTGATTAAATCACCCAGTATTTGATAGGGTAGCAATATAGCATAGATCGTAAAGCATGCGTTTGATAGCAGACTGTACTGTACATCTCGGTTCTTCATTTCCTGTACGCGTGATTTTGAACAAGTTACTTTGTCTCTCCGTGCCTCGGTTTCCTCATCTGCAAAATGGGCACAATAATAGCGCTGCACTTACATCTAAGATTTGTTGTGCTTAGAATAGGGCTTGGTATATTTTCCTAGAAAGGGCCAGAAAGTAAATGTTTTAGGTTGCATGGTCTCTGTCTCAATTACTCAACTTTTCTGTTGTAGTGTGAAAGCAGCCATGGACAATAATCCGTAAATGAGGGGGTATGGCCGTATTCAAATAAAACTTCATTTACAGGGCGCCTGGTGGCTCAGTCGGTTAAGCGACTGCCTTCGGCTCAGGTCATGATCCTGGAGTCCCGGGATCGAGTCCCGCATCGGGCTCCCTGCTCGGCGGGGGGTCTGCTTCTCCCTCTGCCCTCTTCCCTCTCATGCTCTGTCTTTCATTCTCTCTCTCTCTCTCTCTCAAATAAATAAATAAAAATCTTTAAAAACAAAACAAAACAAAACAAAAAAAACTTCATTTACAAAAACAGAGGATGGGCCAGATTTGGCTCACAGACTGTACTTTGCCAACCCTGGCTTTGAATAGGCTTGATACAAAGCATGTGCTCAGCAAGTGTTTGCTATTATTATTACTTGTTTAATTTCTTTCTTTCCTATTAGAATATAAGCTTCATGAGGGCAGGAACTTTGTCTCTCTTGTTCAGTGCTATGTTCTCAGTGCTCAGCTTGGTGCGTAGTACATAGTAGAGGCTCAATAAATGCCTAATTAATGAAGGAGTGAGTAGGTCAAGAACTTAAGCCAGAACACAGGGCAGTGCTGAAGAAAATGGTTTTCTTCATTCCTTCTTATTTAAGAACAGTACTAATAACGCATTCTTAACAGGGCATATGTTTTGAGAGTTTCTTTAAAATTAGAAATGCGGGACTTGATTTCCTTGGCATAGATTTTCAAGGGCAGAATTTTCTAGTTAAACAACATGACTTTTATGGCTCTTAATACATGATAATAACATTTTACATTATAATGACAATATTTAGAACTTCCAGGGAGCCTACCAGAGGCCAGATGTTTTACTATAACCCTGTAGCCTTCACCAGAACCCTAGGAAACAGATGTCCCGCATTTATAGATGAAGAAACTGAGATTTGGGAGGTTAACCAAGTGGCCAACAACTAGTTGTCAGACCTGAAAATTGAACCCACACACGTTGGCTTCAAGTTCTATCCTCTTTCTTCGAAGCGGCACTGCTCCCCGTATGAGCAGATTGCTTTCACAGGGGCTAACAGCTATGCTCCCTGGCCAGCCCCAGGTGTTACCCTTTCAAAAACATTGCTTCCTAACTCATTTGGCAAAAATCTGTAACAATGAAAACACAGCACAGCTGCTATGGAAAACAGTTTGGCCATTTCTTGATGAATTAAACATAGAATTAACCTATAACCCAGCGATTCCATTCCTAGATAGCTACCCAAAAGAAGTGAAAACAAGTGTTCGAACAAAAACATGTAGAAAAGTTTCACAGCAGCATTATTTCACAATAGCCAAAAAATGGAAACAACCCAAATGCCCATTAACAAATGGATGGAAAAGCAAAATGAGGCATAGCCATACAGTGGAATATTATTCGGCCGTGAAAAGGAATGGGGCTGATAGATGTTACAGTAAGAGCGAACTTGAAAGACATCCTCAGAAAGAAGCCAGGCACATTAGGTCACATATTGTGTGATCCCCTGCATATGAAACATCCAGAATAGGCCAAGCCACAGCAACAGAAAAACAATTCATGGTAGCTGGGAGGAGGGGAAGATGTGGAGTGACTGCTAACAGGGCTTCTGTTTGAGTGATGAACATGCTCTGGAGTTAGTGTGATGGCCCACAACAGTAGGAAAGCAATCATGCCACTGAACCATGCACTTTAACCTGGTCAATTTCATGTGTATTTCACGAGCATAAGAAAGGTCTGTAACAAATACGGAATACAATAGGGAAGTAATTTTTCAGAAACATCAACATCTAGGCACATTCTTACCTCTGCTCCCCCCATGCCTTTTTCCCCCCTTTTTTTCCTGGAGAAATAGTTACCTTTCTCATACTTTACCCTCGGGGGTCCAAATGGCCTGCAGACAACCTCTGTGGGCTGTTGCCTTCAGCGTCCTCTGGACCCGAGAACACACGATGCTGCTTCCCCTGGCCATGGCTAACCTCTCTTCTCCATCCTAAGGAGATCTGCCAAGCTCTACCCGAGAGAGGCAGGCTTTCTGCTGACCCAGGAGGCTTTCTCACAACCACATGGCTTAGCTCTGAAATGCCCCGTGAGCGTCTTGCTCGCTTTTACCCCTGTGACGGAGGGAGGACAGAGTTCTGTGGGCCACTTCCAGAGTCTGTGTCTGTGTCGACCCCCACGACAATCTTTTTTTTTCCAACCTGGAGGGTTTCCTTGGCAACCAAATGAATAGTCAGTCACTCACCGCTTTCAGCACTTCAACTTATTAATGCTCGTTCAGTTTTGAACAGTTTGTCTTACTTGAAAAGAAACTGCAGAAGCTGCACTTTTGTTGTTGCTACATTTTTTTTAAACCTGGGTTCCTGCCAGGCTTTTTAAAGGGCCCATACAGATTTCCCCTCCGAACGCGTGAGCACACAGTTAACACACACCACAAAATTGTACGCGCTATGCGTCAGGCTTTCCATATAGTCATTCCTATCACCTGCACCACAATCCCCGAGGTAGATGCAATTATTATTCCCATTTTACAGATGAGGGTGTTGAGGTGCAAGGGGGTCAAGTATCTTGTCCAAGTGAACAGGCAGTACCATCTTTAGGCTATATTGTAATTTCTTCAGACTATATGGGGTCCCGGCACTTTCATGGGAGGCCCCTGGGAAGAGGGAGCCTCAGCACAAAGGGGTGGACTCTCAGCGAGGGGCAGCCAGCATCATTGCAGGGTGGACCAGGTAGAGAGATCTGGGGGAAAGGGGCCTTTCAGCAGAGCTCCTCACTTCCCACTCTCTGGGTATTCTGAGGACCACAACTAGAATGTTCCTGTTTTGACTGACCTTGCCACGGGACAGACAGGTTTCAAAAGCACAGACTGGAGTCAGGCGGAGCTCGGAACCAACCCTGCCTCTGTCGCTTAGTCACTGGGCGAATGACCTCAGGAATTCTTCAGCTGAAACTGGCTGAGGCAGGAGAGACTTTTTCTGAGGACATGCGTGACTGAAGAGGATTTTGGATTTGACCAGGGTTTCTCAACCTTGACACTGCTGACATTTGGGCCACGTAGTTCTTTGTTGTGAGGTGCTGTCCGTGCGTTGTGCACTGCTGAGCAGTACCCTGGCTTCTACCCCCTGGATGCCCTAAGGAGCATCTCGCCCTTGTGACCACCAAATGTCTCCTGGGTGTTAAAACTGCCCCCGATTGAGAACCACTAGATTAGATGCCCTAAAGCCCATTCAAAGATTATTTTGAATCTCTCCTGTGACCTCAGCATATAGAGCTATTTTAAGTAGCATCAGCCCTTTGACACTGAGTAGGATCGGAATTCAGAGTCACCATTCAGATATGCAGAAGGGTAACCAGGCTTCTGGAATTCGTTAGACGCAGCCTTTTCCGTTCAGTGGGAACAATCTCCATAACAATCTTCCTCCATTTCCACTCAGAAGAGTCACTTCGCCACTCAGAGTAATTCTCTATTTTCTGGTTAAAAGCAAAAGTCTCTTTTGGGTGAATTTCTCTATCACCTCAAAGTTCACAGTTCCTATCAGGCCTTTCCTCCTACATGACTTCTCCTCTCACCTTCCTCCTCCTGGAGAAGTCCCTGGGGGCAGCGAGAAGCTTCTGGAACATCAGGGCACCCATGGCGGGCAGCTTGTTCTCCTGAGGAGGAGAGGTATGACTTCCTGCTTGGTCCCTCGGTGGGGCCTTGTCTTACTTTCTGGGCACACTGATTGCTCCTGGGAGCTTGGCGCCCTCCCCCTGCTGCCTGGGCACCCAGCCATGGCCTTCTGGCTCCTGCCTTCTGCATTCCTTGCACCAGTCCAGATGACCCCGAACAGGCCCCAGATGGAATTCTCAGTTACTACTTGGCCACTCCAGAGCTATGGGAATGTCCCTGGAGCTCCATCATGCTGGGTAGGGTGTGGTGGCTCTGTCAGGCCATCTTCTCTCCAGACCTTCCCTCTGACCCTTCTTTATGCAGCCTGTTCTCCTCCCATCTCCTACCTGCGTGTTCTCAGGCTGCTTCCTGCCTGGGTTCCAGATCAGAAGTGTAGCAGATTTCACCCTGCCTTCGGATCTTCAATCTTGCAATTCTGGAGAAACATGGAAACAGAGCTATTTTAATATTTATCTTGCATAATGTTGATTTGAAGGTGTTTGGAATCGATTTCGTAATTCGCTCTAATGCCCCGCTCTAAAATCCTTCAAGACCATGAGGGCCACAATCCACTGAACATACCACGAGTAGTTTACCTTATCCCTCTGGGGGCCTCACCTTCGTCCTTATCTGGCTGAAAGTCCACCCTCCGTCAAGGTTTTCCAGAGAAACAGAACCACCAGGATGTGCATACATATAGAGATTTATTTTAAGGCATCGGTTCACATGATTACGGAGGCTGACAAGTCCAAAATCTGCAGGGTGGCCTGGCTCATGTTTCAGTTCAAGTACAAATGCCATTTGTTGAAGAATTCTTTCTGGTCGGAAAAGGTCAGTCTTTGTGCTATAAGGCCTTCAACTGATTAGATGAGGCCCACTTACCTTATGGAGGGTAACCCACCTTACCAGTGTCTGCCGATTTAAATGTAAATTTCATCCAAAAACACTCTCACAAAAACATCTAGAATAACATGACCAAATAATTAACCAAGTATCTAGGCAGTGGAGTGCAGCTAAGTTGACATAAAATTCACCATCTCTGTTGGTTAAACCAGAACCCTGGTTAAACCCACTTGCTACCTGCTCTGAGCCTGTCCTCACAAAGTTGGAAGCAGAGTGGGCAAGATGCTCACCAGGTCTCATTAGAAATGAACGATCAGTTCAGTATCGCTCACTGCAGTCAAGCAGTTGTACTGTGTCCTCTGGGCCAGTCCCACCCCTCTCCTACACGACTATTTCAAACCTCCTCTGCGATCGTCAGTCTAGGCGGATGACCTTGCTCCCCGTGTCTCAGAGAGAGACTTCGCAGGTCCTCACTGAGCATCTGCCCAGCGACAGGCTGAATCTATGCTCACACGCTGTCCCTTCCCCCTCTTATGGTGGCTGGACTGAGCTTATCTCTCTCCTCTGCTCAGGGTCATTCTCCAGCAATCCTTCCTCCCTCCCCTGAATCATCGATTTTGTCTTTCCTTGTTCATTCCTATCAGTGCGCTCCTATTCATGACCTTGCTCAGTGCTCCTGCTCTATTTCTCTCCTGTTTACAGGACAACTGCTGTGTTTGCCTCTCTAATTTCTCTCTTCCCATTCACTTAAACATTTTTTTGTGTGTGATAAAATACACACAACATAAAATTCACCATGTAAGCATTTTAAAGTATACCATTCAATGGTGTTAAGTACATTCACAGTGTTGTGCTACCATCCCCGCTCTCTGATTTCAGGACTTTTTTCTTCCCTCCAAACGGAAACCTGGGACCCATCAAGCATTTCTTTCCCATTCCCCTCTCCTCCCAGGCACCCCCAGTCTCTGGTAACCACTAATATGCTTGGATATTTCTTATAATTGGCATCATACGATACGTGGTCCTTTGTGACTGGCTTCTTTCACCTGCTACAATGTTTTCAAGACTCACCTACATTGCAGCATGTATCAGTACTTCATTCCTTTTTATGGCTGAATAATATTACATTGTATATATCTATTTTGGAGAGAGAGAGTGTGGGGGGTGGGCAGAGGGAAAGGGAGAGAAAGAATTTCAAGGAGGCTCCACGCCCAGCATGGAGCCCAACACGGAGCTGATCTCATGACCCTGAGATCATGACCTGAGCTGAGATCAAGAGTTGGAACTTAACCTGAGCCACCCAGGCACCCCGACCGGTGTGTGTGTGTGTGTGTGTGTGTGTATTTTTTTAAGGAATCTCTACACCCAACCTGGGCCTCAAACTCATGACCCCGAGATCAAGCGTCAGATGCTCTACTGACTGAGCTAGCCAGGCACCCCATAGACTACATTTTTTAATCCATTCATCTTTTGATGGACACTTTCCCATTCTCTTTAAACCCTTTCCAGCCAGGCTCTCATTTGGCCAGTCTACCAAAACTGCTCTTGTCAAGATCACCAATGGCCTCCATGTTACTAAATCTCAGGGCTGATTCTCAGTTGTCATCTGACTTGAACTACCAGCAGTGCTTGATCTGGCTGATCACTCTCTCTTCTCAAAGCAGTTCTTCACTAGATTTACAGCACATGCATTTTCCTCTCTGGCAGATTCTTCTTTGTCTCCTCTGCTGGTCCCTCCTTTTCTCTGAACTCTTAATGTTGGAGTGTGATCCTTGGACCTCTTTCTTATCTACTCTCCGTCCTCTGGTGATCTGGCCTGTCCTGTGGCTCCCAGTACCATCTATGTATTAACAACTGCCAAATTTCTATTTCCAGCCTCCATATCTCCCCTCTGCTCCTGACTTACCTGTCCTCCTGCCTGCTCACTAACTCCATCGGGACACCCAAATGTAAAAATTTGCCTCAAATCTCAAAATTGTTGAGATCTCACATTCATTCTTGATTCTCTCTCCTTCTCTGTATCTAATCCATCAGCAGATATCATCCATTCTATCTTCATACATATTTAGACTCCAACCATCTGCCCCCACTTCTCTGGCTGCCACCTCCGGCCTAGCACACCAACATGTCTTCCCTGATCACTGCGTAGTCCTCCTCCTGGGCTCCCTGCTTCCACTTGTTTCTTCCAGTCTAGTCCCAACACAGCAGCTGAGCATTTCTGTTAGCGCATAGATCAGACCATGTCTCTCCTCTACTCCAGACCCTTCCCATCTCACTCAGAGCGAAGGCCACATCTTCCTCATGACCCCTCTCAAGTCCAGGCCAAGACACTGTGTATTGGTCATCATCCTGGGCCAAGAGGCAGAGTTTTTTCTTAGACCACCCCGGAGGCCTCAGTTCTAGATCTCCACCTGGGATAGACCTGAGGCCTCTCCTGTCCCAGTATGGCCATTCAAACATGAATTCCTGAGGCACCTGGCTGGCTTAGTTGGTGGAGCAGGTGGCTCCGGATCTTGGGGTTGTGAGTTTGAGTCCCACATTGGGTGTCGAGATTACTTAAAAAAATAAAATCTTAAAAAAAAAAAAGAAAAGAAAAAAACCCCCCAAGAATTCCTTAGTTATCCAAACTTGCCACCTTTCTCACCTCCATGGAGCAACCCCTGCATCGCCTCATGTTTACTATGTTGATTATCAGTTTCATTTTTGTTATTGCCCTTGAGGCTATCCCTTACTTGCTTAGGAGGTGGCTATGAATTTAAAAAGTTATTTATTGGGGTGCCTGGGGGACTCAGTCCTCTGAGTGTCTGAGTCTTGGTTTCAGCTCCTGTCCTGATCTCAGGGTTGTGAGCTGGAGCGCCACGTAGGTCTCCACACTCAGCGGAGAGTCTGCTTGAGATTCTTTCTCCCTCCCTCTCCTTCCCCCTCTGCTCCCCCCTCCCCTGCTCATGCTCTCTCTCTCTCTCAAATAAATAAATATATAAATAAATAAAATCTCAAATAAATTACAAGTTATTTATCATGTTTTGTTCAGCACTTCTCAGTTCTTGGTAGTGAGGGGGTGTTTAGATTATGTTGTGGCCATATTGCCAGAAACAGAAAACCTGTCCCTTGTCTCTGCCTCTAGGGCCTGATGTCCACCTAAGGACCATCATGTGGATGATGCATCTGGGCCACTCACCAACTCGAATCTCTGTTTCTCTCTGAGACCTGAATCTGTACTTAACTTCTAGATCCACAACTAACAGCAAGAGTTGTTTTGGTACCTTGCTCCAACCTCAAGTTTTGTGTGTGAGCCTCTAGCCTGCCAATAGTGTGTGGTAGGTTGAAT